GAACCAGAAAGAGAAGAAGAAGAAGAAGAAGAAGAAGAAGAAGAAGAAGAAGAGAAGAAGAAGAAGAAGAAGGGTCTGTCGAAATCTGATGGATTACCCATACAGTCGACCCCCTTAATCTATATTAGACTCTAATAATCTTTACAAAGACAAAAATGCCCTTACTTAAGTGTGGAGCAGAGTAACTCTAATAACACTGCCACATAAGCAAGCTACTTAACAAACATAAGAAGACTAAACTACCCCTATTCGGCACACTTTAACAATAATCAACATGAGAAGAAATTTTGAGTTGATTTGCCATGGAAAACATTTGATGGAGGAAAAATGAGAGAGAGAGAGATGTCAAGAGCAATCATGACCGACACGAAATGGAGTTTCTTAACCATGATTTAAAAGAAAGAAATATATTCCAGAGTAACAAGTACCTGATCAAAATACTCATTTTTAAAAACTCAAAATTAAGATATCATATCCACAATCCAAATTCCAATAATATAAAAAAATAATAAATTTAGAGCTTATTTTGGTGCATAAAGATGCAATGAGAATTGCTACTGTACCTCCTCATCACACCAAGGTGCTAAAATCATTTTCTTTTGGTTGAGTGCTTCCATGAATTCATCCCATGTTTTTACAACCTTAATGCAAGCATCTCGTTTTTGCTTTGCTGCATCAAACAGGCTTTGTTGAACATCATCCAGCATCTCTTTCACTTTCTCAGTCAATTTGGCCATTGGAATATCTGTTTTTGCTGAATTGTCACGGCGAACAATGCGTACCTACAAGTCAAGAGCGCATTGATATTGGGGGTGCAATAAATGAAATGGCATGCACCAAAATCAACTTTCTGCTGTGCAGCAAACCCAGGCACTCGCTCTTTATTGCAACCATAGTTGTCAAGGCAACGCCTAGGCGACAAGGCACCCTTTGAGGCTCGCCTCGCCTAATCGCCAAGCAGTTTTGTACTTTCTATTATAAAATACTTTTTTATTCTATATTTTTTGAAATTATAATTATAAAATAGACATTATTAAACTAAAATACTCATTGTGTGCTTGTATACTAATTTCTTTTTACCGTTTTCTTATTTGTTAGGGTTTAATCAACACAAATATTGCTAAAGGCTGAATTGAACCCTCAAAGACTTTTTTTATCAGCAACAAAAAAAGTTTTATTAATTATAAGAAAGATTTACAAAAATATGAGTAGCCTCGGATACCCCATGATCTCAATACAATATGATACTATATCTTACAGTTGCAAATGAGCCCAGAAACAATTCCTTCTATTGACCCCTTGCATAGCAAAATGATCAGCTAAACTGTTAGCTGATCTAGGGACCCAATTCAACATCACTTGCATGTCTTTCGAAAATCTTTTAAATTTCTTAACCTCATTCCTGAAACACCATGGAACTTTGTCATTATCTTTCAGCCAGCGAATGATCACCTTTGAATCTCCTTCAATCACCAATTGCCTGATCACACAAATACTACTACTACTTTTTCTTTTCTTCTTCACCTATAACAAAAATATGGGCTCAGCCCCTATATTTTTTGAATTTTTTCCTTTGTTTTCTTCTCATGAATATGTTGATTTCCTATACGTTAACATGAACTTTATACTTTTCTTATGAAAATTATGAATAATTATTAAGGAAATATGGTTATGGTACCTAGGGAACTACCCTAAGATCTATGTTTTAGACAATTAGGCGACAATGCGCCCCCCTGTCGCCTAGCCTCGCCTTGGCGCCTTGAAAACTATGATTGTAACTGAAAAAAGAAAAAAAAAAACATTATTGGAAACTCAGAGAATTATAGCAATACAACCAGCCCTTGGGTAGGGTAACAATGACTACCCAACGAAAATAAGAAGAAAAGAAACATATTATAAGCAGGCCCAATACAATTGACTTCTAGCAACCCCTTGCTTAGCCAAAGTATCAGCCAATCCATTTGCAGTTCTAGGCACCCAACTAATCTTTATATTCATATTATGGCATAATCAAAATAAAATTGTATATAGAACCATCATTATTTTGGTCATAGCCCTCCAACATTTTAGTTTTATCCCTGTTCCATGTAAACACAATTTTTCACTTGTCCAAAAATAATGTTCAGCCAACTGCTGATTTTCTTGGTTTCTTTCTAGGAGAAATAATTAAAAAAAAAAAGCATTCTTAACTGTTTATTACATATGTATAGGTGATGATGAATGGACTCTCAACTATCTCTGCAGATGAAGGACACAACGGGTGCACTGAAGCATATAACAAGTGTTGATTTCATAGTGGATCAGTTTCAAACAAGATGCCCTGTCCCACTTTTGGAGAAAGTTACTTGTTACCAATATTAATGACTGTTTATTAGTTATTTAGAGACCGAGAGAAATTGAAAAGAAATGTCAAAAAAAGTGATTTTCCGCAAGTTGAAGGGGCTAGAAAAGCTAACGGCAGACCAAAAAGGACTTGGATAGAAGTAATGAGAAAAGATTTAAGCACCCATAGTTTAACAATGGATATGGCACTGAGCCACTGAACAGAATGGAATGGTGTAACAAGATTCATGTATTGTAGCTGACCCCATATAGATGGGACATGGGACAAGGCTTAGTTGATGATATGATGATGATGAGAGAGTAATCCGATTACCCTCCAATGAATAAAGGGACCTGAGTCTCAGCACTGACCATATATCAACATATTGGTGCTCAAATACAGTGAAAATGAATCCTTACACCATGGAGGTGGCTTCTTTGATCACCTTTGGATTCAAGGGTCTTTTGTTTTAGCCTGCACCCAGCTGAAGACAATTTCAGATTACTCTTTTACCTATACTCTGACCAAATCTGAGGAATAATCCACCTTAATATCCTGCACTATAGCTAAGGTTTCTGTCTAAAGAAACTCCCTCCCTCGTCAGTTGTACCCTTACAGACTCAAATTTGGACTAGGAAACTGACTCAAAACAACTTCTAACCACTTTAAAAATTAAAACTAAGACAAACCCATAGCTAAACCATAGGTACACTTAAATAAGGACTCTAATTCCTAATAGCAAATCAAATAGCACTTTAATGATCCTGATAAAACTTAGTTAAAGAAACTAAAAACTGTAAATCACAATTTACTATAAATTGTAATCATGAGCATTACTAAAAATAGTAAGTCTGATAGTTAACATAAATAGTAATTTTGAAATAACAGTAAATTTCTAGAAAATTTAAAACCTTATTTTTAAAACACCTGTAACTAGAAAATAATTTTAAAAACTCAAAAGTACCAATATCTCTATAACCCAAAATAATTTGGTATAAGAATTGAGAAACCGTTTTATTTTTCCATGGATTCCTTGCTTCTTTATATGGTTAGGATGGATTGTCATTTTTCAATGCTTCTCTTCAAGAATGAGTAGTCAGTAGACTTGTTCATGGACAGGGCTTGGGCTTAGCTTTGTCAAAACTTGAATGGGCTTGGCCCAAAGCCTGGCCTGTGAACAGGTCTAGTAGTCAGTTAAGCTTAGACGAGGGACTATTGACAGTCCAAACTAGTTCAACAATCTCAGTGTTTTAAAAGCACGCCTAGACTCACAACTGAGGCTCATTTCGTGAGGGGTATGCCTTACTTGAACCCGGGAGTGCACTGTCTAGCTTGTTGCCATGTTTTAATGAATTAACCTTGAATTTGACTTTTTAATGCTTGACTAGTTGACATATTACATCATAAGTTGTAGCTCTACTTTTTAAGCTTAAATAATATAGCTAATGTAGGACTTCAACCTTAAGCCTACAAACTTAGCTTAATTACATGATACTCCAACCAATTTGGCAAACAGGATTTTTTTTCAGAAATTTGATTTGCGTATTGTTATATATAAGATTTTTTATTTTTTAATAGGTGGTGTCTCATTTCATTCATGCATGCGCCTTACCTTGTACCCTGTGCCTTGAGCTCTTGCTTTTAAAACACTAACCATCTAATCTGACCCAAATTTCAAAATGAATACCTTTTTTTACCATCTTGTGTGTTGAATTATGGTTCATGATACTACCGTTACTTTGAAGTTGATATCTCTTGGGCCTTATCCACATTGGCATGAATAAATCTCATTGGCATACAGACACCTAATACCTTATGGAATGAATCAAGATGATCTTGTTAATCCAAATGAATAAAACAGTGCCTTCATAAGAGAAAGTATCCTTTCTAGTTTCACTTCTAAATGTGGATAGAATCTTTTGCCCAATTAACCATTTTGAAAGTTGTTTTATTTTTTTAAGATATTAAAAAAATAAAAAGGAAACCTAAAAAGAAGAAAAAATGAAATTTATTTTGTATGGAAGCAACTCCAAGAGATTTATTACCAAACCAACCTTTAAGTTTTTCTGCTTTTTTGCTTCATAAACTAAAATGTTGCCTCCAAATTCTTATCCAAAATACCCCCAAGAGATAAAGGGAACTTCTGAATCATTTAGACAATTGAATAAAATCAAATTATAATCTTTGTGCAAAACAAGATGCAACATAATACAAATATGACAATCAGCAACTTTGTAAATGCACTCATGGAAAAAGACTGGTAGGCAGTGAGGGCTCTAAATGTATCAAGGATAGAAAAATGTGGTAGCAGCAAAGAGGAAGATGCAAATCAAACAGGTAGCAGAGAAAAACAAACATGATTGATGTAGCAATAATTAAGAATTGGGATGATGGTTCCAACTGGAACAGTTGGGAAGGTCTCTGGCTGGTTGTAGCAGAGACTTGTGATCAAATCCTGGGGGATTATATATGTGTGTATGTGTGTGTATATATAATGGACTTGAAATACCTGACTATTAACCAAGTCTTTTGGTCCAATTTCAATTCTCAGTGGGACACCTTTCATTTCCCAATGTGAGTACTTCCAACCAGGTGAGTAATTATCTCTAAAATCTGCCTCAACACGAAAGCCAGCTTTGCTCAATGTATTCACAGTTTCAGAGCAGGCATCAAAGATGGCTTGTGTATCAGCATCTTTGTATGGCACAGGAATCACAACAACTTGTACAGATGCAACTTTAGGTGGCAGAACCAATCCGTTGTCATCACCATGAACCATCACCAAGACCCCAATCTGCAATGTGGAAAGAAAGAAATTTAGAGAAAAATTATTACTAACGTAAGGGTAAATAACCTAGAACTACATAAAGTTCTATTTGATATGGAAAAATATAACGCAAAAGCAAGAGATGCACCAAATCATGATAGCCACTATTTATTACAAAAAAAAAAAAATCATAAGAAGTTAGCAACCACTATTTAATGAATCCATTGAATCCAACAATGATGAAAAGAAGACCTGGAACCAAAAGGCACCTCAACTTTTCCTAACATTAATTATATACTACCAATAAAACAGATTAATATAGAGAACAAAATGAATATAAATCAAGGGAAGTTATTTGAGCACACCCTAAATCATTACTTTGAAAATACATGTCTTGAAAGAAAAAAAAAATGCCCCCATATAGTTGGATGTGCCCAAATCAATCTCTAAACCAAAGCACCACAGGGAAATGTATTAGAAACAGATAACTATTGCCCATATTATACATTTAAAATCTTTTTTTTTTATTAGTGAAGGTAAACTATAAAGGGATGAGGAGCCCTTGAAGAAAACATCTATGGTGACAGTGAGTATAGACTATAGAAGTGTATGCTCTCCAAATAAATATACACTTTATATAATCAATAGTTACACGAACCCCCTAATAGCCATAAAAAATTGTGCTGATCCACCAACTCCTAAACCTGCCAATTATGACTCCAGAAAATTGATTGAGCTCTGTTCAACTCTTCAAAATAGGATGCCTTAGCATCAAAAACCCAGCTATTCCTCTCCTGCCAAACAATCCAATAGAGGGAAAAAGGCAGTGTGTTCCACAGGATCTTCTCTTAGAAAAAGGCAATAGGGATCATCTATATAGGACTCGGTTGTAATTTGCCTTTGTCTTTATGTGAGAGGTTGCATCTACACACCTCTCCTAAGGAGGCTTGTACTGATTGTATATATGCTTTTCAATAAAATTCATGATAGTTACTTACAAAATAAAAAAAAAAAAGGACAGGAGACCAGGCAGATCTAGGGGGTGATCCACTGTCTCCAAAAAGCTGCAGAAAATGAAACATCCGATATGTGGTCAGGCAGTTGATGGATAAGTGGTTAACTAACTCCTCCTCCAGTCCACACAAAATACAGATGTTGTCAAGGAGCATCCCTTTGTTCAACAAGTGATCGATAGTGAGGACTCTGTCCCACAATACGACAAGAAAAAAGTGATCTTGGATAGAATTTGTACTTTCCAGAGCCAACACCAAGGAATTGGTTGAACACCAGCATCTGAAAGTGAAAGGGACTTATAACTGAAAACTATCATACACTGCAATGTCTTGTACGCGGTCACCATTAACTAGTTATCTTCTTAAGTGGTGTGGTATTTAATTTTAAACAAACACTATGTCTTCTACTGTTAATGAATTTGTCTTCTTCAGTAGCCACACCCAGGAAAAGGAAGGAAATAGTATAAAGTACACTTAAGCCAGAAACAAGACATTTGTTTTACTGGAGAAACCAAATTACTCGATCAAAAATAAATAAATGGAGTATGGATTACCGTTCTTGTACTATATGCCCAGGAGTTCTGCCAGACCATTTGCTTTTCTCCCTTCTCATTTTCAAAGTTTATTTCAAACATTTTTGCAAAATTTTGACCCAAACAATGTGACGTAGCACCTTGGATACCACGGCCAGTGTTTGGAATAAATGCCTGGAGAAATTAAATAGAATATAGTTGGTGAAAATGAGGAAATTATTTCACATTTAATATTCAGGTCCTGAATTCCTTCAAATACGTTCAGAAAATAAACTACACATACAAACATATTAAATACCTCAACACTTGTCGTGTAAAGACCACCAGCAAACTTCTCTAGCTCACTCTTTTTCCCCTTTATAACAGGAATTTCCAGATACTCTTCATATATCCTTCTATAGAGTTCCAAAATCTCAAGAACCTGAAATTACACAAACAAATGACACAGCAAGCACAGATACAGATATGAGCACAAAATAGAATATGTAGTAATCCATGCATAAACATGTTCTAGCCAATCCCTGAAATAAGAAAAAACAAATTCTGCATGAAACAAGTTAACATTATCATGTATAAAATTACAGTCTAGATGATGTAACGGTAGGTCCACATAAAACACTAAAATTCTAACCCGTTCCCCTCCAGAAAAGATATGTGAATTATGAAGGAAGGAGACAAAGGAAGGTTCAGTTTAATCTCATCACGTATTTTAGGCAACCATTGTATCAGAAAGAGCTCAAAGGCTTTACCTACTCAATCAAGACGAACATCACACAAGTTAACCTTGTATCAGACACTTATGACGGAGGCAATTGCTTTTTTTTTATCAATACCAGTGAGGCAATTGCTTATTTAATGGTAAAATATTGCGCTGACAAGCATGAGAACATGGGTTCGAGTTTGAGAGTGGCCAAGAAATTGCCAAAGGTTAGGTCCATATCCAGCCTACCACTTCCAAGACCCCAGATAGCTTGGACCAACATTGGCTAATGGCTTTTTATCAGACATGACCAAATTAAGATAAGAACACACATCAATGGCTTAACTACTAATCATAGTTGAGTGTATATATGTGTGTGTGAACATGGAAACGTGGAAATACAAAACCAAACCATGGAAAAAGAATTCAAATTTCTCTGGATTCCTCGTCCACTGGGAATTTCAAAAGTTTTCAATTTTCCTTATTCTTTCTCTTCTTTTTTATTTTTCATTTTATTTTCTAGTTTGTAATAGTTGTAGAAGTGCCTTAGTAGAGAGTTTAAGAGCTTGAAGAATTCAAAATTGTGGATTTGGAACTTCTCTTCCAGCTTAAGTTTTAGAGAGGAAAATCTATCTGTTTGACTTGATTTTGGAGTCACTAGGTAGTCTTTCCAGTTATCTATATCTCAGAGGACAAGAACTCATAAATCAATTGTGTTTGGAGAGAATTATGTCCATTTTAGTAAAGGGTGTCGGTGATGGGAAATGAGTTTTTTGGTCTCAGAATTACTTTTAGTTTATTTAGCTCTAGTAGACCCTAGCAGATATTTAGAGTAACTTTATGTTGTCCAAATCAGTATTTGACCGCCCAGATAGGTTATACAAGGGTTTGCTTTGGTCCTAAGTCCAATTAGGAGTTCTTTCTGGTCAGTTTTGAGTCTAAGTTGGAGCTTCTAAAGGGAGGTCCAACCCCTTATGTCCAAGTCAGTATTAGACCGCTCAGATATGTTATACAAGGATTTTTTTATCCCAGGTTCAATTAGGAATTCTTTCTTGTCAGTTTTGAGTGTAAATTAGATCTTCTAAAGGGAGGTCCAGCCCCAATGGAAAACAGGAGAGGTTCATGGATATCCATGAATACTATGGAGATGGGTTGAAGCAATTTACCTACTTCCCTGAAGGAAGGGGGACCACGGCTTGAGATAAAGTAGCACAAGCATTTCAGGAGCTTTTGGTGGATGTCAGTGAAAGAACGTGTAATTCAAAAACAAAGACAAAAGAGAAAAGAATCACAATACTAAATGAATCTATATCTTATGGAAAAAAGGAAAAAAAAAAGAACATCTTTAAACAAATCCATACCTCTTCATCAGCCTCAACCTTGGTCGCAAAGGCTGTATGCCCTTCTTGCCAAAGAAATTCACGGCTCCTACAATTACAAAAAGTTAAATATCCTATAAACTTAATGTAATTGCAAATAGCATAGAAATGTAATTAGATTGAAAAAACTTAATCCTCCTTTCAATTTACTGAAATACAGTTTGATAACTAAAGTTATTATACAAATGGGCAAGTGGTCCAACCTCCAAATAAGATCAGACAACCACCTAAAACCTACATTACATGAGGTTTTAGACTCAGTGAGCTCAGCCCAGAGAAAGGGGAAAACGTAATCCATGGAACTTTAAATTCTCAACTTCTGCTTTCTAATATATTTTCTTTATATGAAGATAATGCAATAATAGATGAAGAGAACCAATTAAAGGTTGAATCATAGATCAAGAGGAGGATTGGGGAACATCTGGTTTTTGATAAACAGGGCACACCCCATGTAAATAGACAAAAAGAACCCCTATTAAAAGTTAAGTATGGGGTTCTTCTGCCTTTTCCAAGAAACTCATTTAGCCTATTCACTAGGGATGTTCCCAGTTTATCAAAAATGGGATATGCTCCAATCAAAACTTTACATAAATGCTAACAAAACAAAAACAATTAAAATAGTTTATAATTAATTAAATTAAATTTACCAGGTACTGCAATATAGAGACTACAATTTGTTCCCAAATTTTAGTCTAAGAACCTAACATTCTATAGTCACCTATTACAAACTTGACAGTGAAGAGTCCCTGTACATGCCGTGAAGAGCTAAGGATCCATGTCCAAACATCTCAATACTGATAGATGAACTATCATATTTCATCAACAGAACAAAAGAGAAAAATAAGAGATCCAGAAAATAATACCTTATGAATGGAGTAGGATGACTGAACTCCCACCGAACAACATTGCACCATTGATTAAGCTTCAAAGGCAAATCACGGTGTCCCCTTATCCACTTGGAATAATAGGGATACATTACAGTCTCACTTGTGGGACGGATTGCTATATGGACATCTAGGTCAGTACTTCCAGACTTTGTAACCCATGCAACCTGAAAGAGCTTAGCAACAGTTATAAAACTTGGGGCAACCATACAAGATCGGAAGGATCAAAACCTTGGCTCTTTGGTTTCTTTGGTTCTTCTTCGTCTTCCATGCTTTCCAGTGTGATTAAGTACCCAGTAGCACCCCAGTATACTTCTTGTATGCTCTCTTTCTTTTTTCTTAATAAATTTTACCTTACTTTTTTCAAAAAAAAAATATTAAACCAGTGTTAAAACAAAACAAAACAAACAAAATGGACAGTGCCAACCACAAAAAACAATTGAATTGTCCAGTTTAAAGACAGTTTAAACAGTAAAAGGTTTCCATTTTTTATTTTGTCCAGGCACACATCATCAGCTTTGACTAGGAGTTGGATTGAATGGACCTTTTAATTTGACTACCCAATCCAATATTTAAAACACCAGTCATAACAACAGCTAAATAAATAAATCAAGAAGCAATTTTCCAGACTGAAACTTCAGAACCATCCAAACAAACTACTACATGCAAAAGGAGTACCACCAGCAGAAGCAATAACAAATAAAGAACTTCGTAAGTTCCAAGAGCTAATATCAGATTAAGAAAGAAATCTAAATTTGGATCCCCAAACAAGAAATCTGACACTGAACAAATTAGGCTCTACATCAATATCAAAAGCTAAATTGTCAGGAAAAATATCTTATAAAGGTAAATATATTGGAGACTTAGAAAATTTCTTTCAATGGTGTGCAACAAAGTGCTTTTCTATTTCCTTACTAAGAAAAACAATTTATATGTTTAACAAACAGGAGATTGCAAGTTCAGTCCGGGCTAAGGAATGAGGAAGGGAATGCAATTGTTCTTTCTTCAGGACCAATAGGAATAGGAGACTCTTCAGGCTGAGATTTTGGCAGTTTTGGAAGAAGTACACAGAGATAAAGAGTTGAGTATTGGAAAACTGATCATAGAAGGAGACTGAGAGACTCTAAGGTGGTGGTGGGCTGGCTGAAGGAAGAAATGAATATAATCTTGTTTTTTCAATATTAATTACTTTTAATTTCCACTGCAATAAAATTAACAAGGAAATCACTAGAATCTTTCAAAAGACATCTGGAAACATAGCATATTGGGATGGATCCATATGCTGCAAATGGATTGGAGCCGAACCACCGTAGTGGTGGAGCCACTATACCCCTAGAGGAAGCGACGACCCAAGCCCTCTGCATCCATCACTTGGAACTACAGTAATGAAAAGAAGAGGTTCAAATGGCTGACAAAGGACATTAATGTCAAACTTATATGGGTTAAAAGAAGTGTCAACTCCTTTGCTGATAGGTTAGATAAACAAGGGGTGAATAGGGTTTCTATATTTTGGGCTCACTTGTAATGTAATATGCAATCTTTTGGATGGCCTTCTTTCTTCAATGGGAGAGTTAAGAGAGCCTATCTCCTCCTATCATGTACTCAAATCTTAATCTTTATTAATGAAAACTTACTTGTTATTGATCAAAAAAATATGTTTAACAAATAGGAGAGATCACACATCAGTAGAGCAGAAAATTTTTCCTGAGACTAAGAAGAAACATTTTTCTCACTACAATGACTGGATAATCATTGCCAGGTTTTCAAAGATACTTAGTTTTCAACTTCTAAAATCATACCAAAGGAACTCAAAATTCTCACCTCTGGAGCAAAACCTTCTATGTGATCCTTTTCCCGTTGCAGAACACCAGGAGATACAAAAAGAGGGAAATAGCAATTCTTGATTTTCATCTTCTTTATTTCTGCATCAAAGAAGGTCTGTACAGTGACAGCATTAAATGGTCAACAACATAAAAAAGAAAACAAATAAGTAAATAACGAAACACAGACACAAACATAAAGCACACAAAAAGGGGGAAGAAAAGGAGCAAGATTTAACTTTTGTGTAGACAACAGATCCAAAACATTATAAAATGAGGGGAACCACCCCATGAGGTAAATGCTGTTTTGATCATAAACAAAATGTCAAGAAGACATCCTTTCAAACAATATTAGAGATGAAAATGCCAGCACAGTTGTCAAGGCATTGCCTAGGCAGCCTTGGCTGGGTGCCTCACCTGAATGCCTTGAGTTGTAGCAACAAGGCACATTCCTAGACAACAAAAATGACAAGGTTGGTGCCTTGACAGCGTTTTAAAAGTGCAAAGGGTAAAATAAGTGCAAGGGCCATTTTGTGCCTGAGCCGCGAGGCGCAAGGTGCAAAAATGCAAAAAAAATGGTAAATTAAATGCCGAAAAGTTCCAAAAGAATGCAAAATATTAAACATAATATTAATTAAAAATATAAACTTAAATTTTAAAATAAATGTTTTAAAAATATCTATTATCTCAAATTAAAATACATAAACATAACATGTAAAGCATATTTAAAATGAAAATTTAAAAATAAAATCAAGCATAACATATAAAACATATTCAAGCATGTAAACTCTTAACCTCTTTATTTTTTTTCCAATTGTGTTACTTCAAATACCTAAATGTGATGTTAAACATTATGCATTCCTGATTCTATGAGCCACTTTGTACCAAGCCCCTCAAGGCAAGCCCAAACAAGTCCATATCAGGGTCTTACATTCTTAATTCCTATAAAAAAATAGGTTTTAGAACTTTAAGTGTCTTTTTAAAATGTGCCTTGCCTATGCGCCTCGTCGTGCCTGAGGCTCACCTTTTAAATCACTGATTAAAACATCATTCATATTTTTTTTTGGTATTTGAAAAAACATCATTCATACTACTACAACTTAATAATGTGTGTTCATACATTCTATTATATACGATATATATCACTTATAATTTATTTTACCCCCTATCTTCAATTTTAGCATATAAAATTAAAGCCTTCTTTAGTTGCTAATTTGATATCAAATTGCTCTTATTGTTTTTGAAAGCATTAAAATTAATGTATTTGAAATATCATTCTCCTAGATATAATGATTTGCTATGTTTTAAGAGGAAAGTTAATGTTCTTAATAAAGAAAATTGCTATTTTTTTCACGTATTGTATATATCAGATGGTATAGAACACTAGGGAATTATGCAAAACTTAGTTCTTTGTTTTATGAAGTTCTTATCACCTAGGTGAGGCACACCACTATCACCCAGAATCTCCCAGATGCCTTGACTGATATAGATGCCAGTATAAAGGACTTTGCCCCTTCATACATAGTGTAAATGGTTGAAATATCCTTAAAACAGTAAATAAGCATGGAATTTGGTATCCTCATGCCAAATGCAAAAGACACATGGTTAAAAAATTTGTCTCACACTTACTTGCATGGTTTCCCAAATTGAAATAGCCCATGGCCTTAGAATGTAACAACCAGAAATATCATAGTATTCAATCATTTCACCATTAACAACCACCTGTACAAGCCAAATGAGGATCAATAACTTTAATTCTTTAAATCACAGAATTAGATCATTTACCACTGAACCAATTTGAACAAGCCAAAACAATGATCAACTGCATACTTACAATATATGCCTTCAAAATGAACATGGATTCATTGAATAAATGAAGGATATCTAATTTCGTCATCCTCCTTGTGTTTGAAAAGAAAAAACTAGGCAAAAAAGAAAGAAAAATCAAGCTAGAACAAACATACATATATATATACATACCTCATAGTACCATTCCCCAAAATTGTCATCCTTCTTATTAGAGAGACCAAGACCTGTCTCTTTTTTAACCTCCTTCTTTTTCCCCCCTGTGAAGAAAAAAAAAAGATAGAAAATAATTCAGTATCGCAAACCAGAAAGCAAACGAGAAAGGCAAACCAAGGATTCAGGAGAACAGCAACTAACCACTCTTTACATTTGTATTGGATTTTTTTGCCTCGTCAGTAGCCATATTCTTCAGTTACTTCAGTCCACAGTACAATTTCCTAAAACTAGAAATAACACACTTGATAATTAAAATCCTTAAAGTTGAAAGATAAAGCAAATGTTGACTACACACATATAATTATTTAAGAAATTAATTCATAAGTCATCATTAACAACATGAAAGCTACCACATTTGGTCATTAACAATATCCAAACTACCACAGGATCAGTAACACAATGAATCCATAGGGTCCAATTAATCAGTATATTACATTCAAATATGCAAACGGATAAATATCTACTCTCTTTTTTTTATTTTCAATAGTCAGATAAATAGCTGCTAGACGGAGATAAGTATTCGGGAATTAAACTGCACTGTTATGGATGCCAGATCATGACAAGCACTAAGCAAGTCAAATACAACAAATTACCCGCTAATCCACTTTAATTGTTCAATTAAGGGAATCACGAAATGCTAAAAGCTAAAGAACCAATTTACATAAAATGAAGAGAACACCCAAATTGAAATCTCATGAAGAAATGAATATTTAATTTCATGAAGAAAATTAAAATATTTCTCCAGTAACAACATAGACATCCAAAAAATTCTTCATGAGATTACAATTCAGCTATATCTCTGCCCCTTTGGCTGGATTTATTTCGCTGTAAATGAAGCAGAAAACAAGGCGACACCGTAGAGGGAGGTAAACATAGAGCTGAAATGGAGTTTTTTACAGAAAAAAACTTCGCTTTACGCCCCCATATACATCAAACCAAAGGCAGGTGAATAGAAGATAATCTAACAGCACCAGAAAAAAAATGCATGATGAAATGTGGGTAATCTAGAGACTAATATTGTAAAGGATGGAAGAAACTGAAGCCATCAAAACGTGGGTCTCGCCCATTATCAGAAGCCCCAACCCTTACGTGACAGGACGGCGGCAACTGATAGAGAAGGAGACGTAGAAAGAAAAGCACCGAAACTCTGCTAACAGACAAGAGACAGACGGAGGATCCTCATTCGTTACTGAACAGAGACAGAATTAACTAATCAATTCAATTTGCCTAGATTGGCTGCTCCTCCCCTCGGCGGCCAACCCTGCTGCAGCGTGCACTGAAGAGAAGATACTGAAGAGTACGGCTTCACGTAACACGTGTTGGAGTTCAAGTCTGACTGCCTCAATTGAAAACCTAGTTAAAATCCCGCCCGGATGTTCCCTATACCAAGTTATCCCCATTAAATATAAATACCAAGTTTACCAAAAATATATATATAATTTAAAAAGGTACTAAGCATTAATACAAAAAAAAATTATTTGCATTGCAACCAAATAAGCCTTAAAGTCGTGGTATTCTCCTTTATTGCACACCAAGATAGTCACTCTCAAATGTAGATGTAGATGGGGTGAAGACCACCCCATGGTTTGGTCAAACTAAATGTAGATGGGACGGTTGGAGTTCTCAAATCTGGTTTTGGGTTCTCAAAGTTTGAAGTATCGACATGTATTGATTCGTATCGGTCGAAAGATATCGTTCCGGGACTTCTCCAAAACACCCTTACAGTGGGTGTATCGGAGGTCTAACCAGTTCAGGGGGTGGAGTTCTAAACCAGCCCCCCTGAATTGATTTTGAAAAAAAAAAATTAAAAAGTAAAAAAAAAAAGGTATCAATTCGTCCGACATATTGGGCGTATTGATATTTTGAACCCTTGGGGTTCCTCATTAGAGACCATCTGAGTGCAACAAACTATCTCTATTAGAGGTTGAGGCTACAACAATGATTGAAAGATTGAAATTTGGGAGAACGACTGATCAGCCCAGCTAAGAATTCTTTAGCCCCACCAAACAGTTGGGGTGAATCCTGACCATGGATTGATGTCAAATCCACTGGCAGGATGCAGTTTATAGGGGTGGGGGCTACTAATAGACTATGAGAAGGTTGTAATTCAGAATTCTGCATTGGGTTGCAGAGTACTTAACCCTTGAAATTTTCAGTTGAATGGCATCTTTCCTAAGTCATTATTGAAGGCGATTACCAAGTACTTTGCCAACTTCTGTTGGATGGGTCACTATCCCTTCCTTGGCGTACCCATACGCTAATCACTAATTGCAGAAGCTTCATCATTTGCCTTCTATCTCACAGAATATGTCATGTTCAAAGGGAGTCTATCGAAGCTGCTCATTTGTTAGCCAAAATTGCTTTAACCTGTAATAAAGCAACCACATTGTCATCAACTCCCCTTTTGTACTCAATGTAATTTCTTGTGAGATGAACTCGTTGATTGGTGAATGAATTTGCCTTTGGGCTTTCAAGAAAAAGGAATACAAAAAAAAAGGTTTTCTTATTTGAAGTGCACTTCAAGAAAATACCTAAAAAAGGTCTAAAATCTAAGCATAAACCCGATATTATACGTTATTTTACCAATTTATATTTTACAACAACAACAAAATGTTTTGTATAATGAAAATAAAGAGATGATAAGTCCTTAAAATAAGGAATGCCAAATGCAACCTTAGAGGTTTCTCAAAGAAAAAATGATGGGTGCAAGTGTTAAAAGAATAAATATTTGAAGGATTCCAATTTCTAGCGGCAAAGGTCTTGACTTGTAGACAATATCTTTTAAAGGGAATGCAAATGGATCATCTAATGAGTGACAAGTCAATATCTTCAACAATCCTTGGGAGATCAAATCATCCCCCACAAGATTGCCCCCCACAACGTCTCACAGCACATCATCGGGAGATGTTCCCAATATACAGTGGGGATGTGCTGTGGGGACGGTGGGGGGGGGGGGGGGCTGATTTGATCTCTGATCCTTGAATGTTTACAAAAAAAAAAAAAAGATGGTTTGCTCTCGAGTAGGGGTGCAAGATTGGGCCAGGTTAATGGTCAACTCATGCTCGGCCCTAGGTCAAGCCCAATCTTCCCAACCCGAGCCTAGTCCGCACTGTAATTTGATGCATTCAGGTTAAGTTTGGGCTCGGGCCAGGCTCAAGTTGGTCAATGAACCCATTCTAAAATTATACATATGTATGTATTTATGCAAATATGTATACATATATTTGTGTGTGTGTATATATATATATATATATATATATATATATATATATATGTATGTATGTATATATGTATGTATGTATGTATGTATGCAATTATATTTATGTAAATATGTATGCAAAATTTACATATCATATACATATGTGTATTTGCGTCTGGCTCAGGCTAGGTTTGGGCTACCTAAGGGCTAGGCCCAAGCCCGGCCCAAAAAAAAAATCTCACCTTCTTGGGCTCGAAGACCAAAATTCCAAGCCCAGCCCGTATAAAATTTTTTGGGCTCAGGTAGCGCCACCCAAGTTGCACCCCTATTCTTGAGTGATTATGCTTATCAACATGATTTTTGAACTGTCATTAACCCAGATGGTTGTAGTGTTTGGCTCAGAAACCATCCAGGTAATTAGTTCCATTTTACCCCTGAATTATTCCTTTGACAAACACCATTGACTTGGTCAACAACCCATTGACCCAAGCGATCTAACCATCGACCTGTTTGACCCAAACAATGGTTTTGGGTGTTTTTATTTTAATCTTTTTTTATTTTCTTAAAATTGCAATGGGCCATCAGTTCGGACCAAACAGTTAAAGGGGTTTTTATAGTTCAGTCCACCCCTAAGGTGGAGCTAAGATTTATAAGGGTGGACTGAATTCTATCTGTGGATTGATACCAAATTCACGGGATGCAGTTTATAGGGGAGTACTAATAGAATAATAGGGAGGTACAATTTTAGATTTATGAGGTGGATTGCAGTCCACTTATCCTTTTAAAATATTGCTTGTCAATGTAAGTTCTGACACTTGGAACATTGACATTGTTCAAAGCACTAGGTAAATTAGGCTACTGAGAGCGGATCACTTGATGGAGGACCGTTTGTTTGGACTGCAACACCCCATGATAATTTTTCAAGCAATTCAGGTTATAAGTTTTATGACATGCAATTTAGGCTCTGAGTCCACTAACGTATCCATGATTTGCACAAATCTCCATTGGAAGAAGTTCTGAAAGTTGAAGTACCTACCTTGGATTGAAAATGTTTGTATAGAGATGTTACTATGAATCCATTGTCAGGTCTACTCAATAAAACCGAACCAACCAAACCAATTGTCGACTCGAGACCTGTTTTGGTTGTCCCGAACCAACTCAGACCCAAAGGGATTGTATACATGGTTTTGTATGTAATGTGTCCAAAAAAGTATCACCTCTCATCATTTGCCCTAATCCTTATTCCCATGTCTATTCTTGTAAGATCCAAACCTGCATGAATATTTTCAAATAAAATTAATTACTCAATACTTCCATTTCTCAAAATGAAAGCTGTCCAAGCTTCTTCATGGCCTTTTTTTTCCTATTTTGAAGAAAAGGGTCTTTTAACAAGACTTATCAATACTTGAATCTTGATAAGTCATTTCATTTAGAATGTAGTGTTAAACAATTGAGCAGTTGGGAAAGATAGTTCAATCCCATTCATTGTACTGATTAATAATCAATTTGGTTCTAGTTATATAGGACAAATTGTAAACCCTAAGGGGTCTGGTTCGGGACCAATAATTAATTAATTTTCTTATTAGTTTGAGATGGTTCCACCCTATCCTGAACCAGACCCAACCCATTGACAACCCTATAGGAGGTGGTAGTTGGAAGTCACATGTATATTTTTAATTATATTATGATTTAATTTAGGGATAAGTTGACTGCACTCCATCTCAGAATTCTGAATTTAACTGCAGACCTACAATAATTCAAAATTATAAATACCTCCACCTATAACACCCATACCCGCCCGTGAATTGGCATCAATTCCGAACTGGCACCTATCCCAACTGTACGGTGGAGATAAGATTTCTGGGGGTGGACTGAACAATAAAAAACCCTTTAATTTATCATTGTCATATCTCTATTTTTTATAAGACAATTAATAATATTTGCAAGAAAATAATCTTCCAAATTAGAGATATATGATGTGGCTAACAATATTCTTAAGTTCAAAAACTTTTTTATGAACCGTGCCTCAAGAGTTGGCATAAGTAGTATTAAATGCATGAAAATGCCCAAAGTAAACTAATTTGTTTTTTAACTTGTATTTTTAAAGCAATATTAAATTGTTCTTTCACAAAAATTCAACATAATTATATATTTAATATTCATTATTTTATAACATTTTCACTAAGATATATTTATTCATTATTCAGTTTTGACCAATCAAAACCTCCATGAATTTTGATCAAGGATCAAAGTATTGGTGTTGGGTATTGTATCGGACAGTTTTTGAAAATGATTGGATGTGCTAGGAAATGCATACAAATCACATAAATATGTTAATAACAACAAACCTAAAACTAAATTGTCTATGAATTAAGGTATAAACACATGAAAAATGTACACTTTAATAGGTTATATGAAGTGAAACATTACAATCAACAACACCAAGATCCTAGAACATATACACACCATACAAAAATTATCACTCTATTTCAGTTTTTATAATTATAATTTTCAATTTTTATTAGTTTTTTTGGGAAATTCTATTTATTTAATATTTTTATATAAATAATAGCCCTATTTTTCAAATAATATTTTTTTAAAATTTTAACATATAATTGTAAAACAAAACATATAAATCATTTAAGGTATATAAAATAAATTATTTTTATAATTTCCATTTTCTATTAATTTTTTTGGGAAAATTAAATCCTAAATTATCTATTTCCATTTGTATAATTAAAAGTTTCAATTTTTATTATCTTTTTAGAAATTTCATTTATATAGTATTTTTATGCAAACAATAAGTCTAATTTTTTAAACAATATGTATCTTTTTTATTTTTAACATATAATTTATATATAAAATAAAACATATAAATCATTTAAGACAGATAAAATAATTTTTTATTTATTAAACTTTTGGGGAAAATAAATATTAAATTATTTGTTTTAATTTTTATAATTATAACTCTATTTCAGTTTTTATAATTATAATTTTCAATTTTTATTAATGTCCAAAAGCAGTCCAGAAGAATTCAATATGCAGAATTGTGAAATCAAGTGTCAATAATGCATATCGATAGGACAATGCAACATGAATATCTAATATGGAAGCATATCAAACCAATATATATGACCGGTGCAATACATACCCAATTGTGAAATATCCTATATTAGTGGTCATGGATATTTTAAT